TATGTGTCTGTGTGCATGTGTACAGATGTATGGGGCTCTGTACACTGTAATGTGGGTGTCTGCAGGGTCCAGAAGAGGGTGTCTGATCTTAGGGAGTTGGAGTTACAGGTGGGTGTGAGATGCCATGTGAGAGCTGGGAACCAAACTCAGGTCCTCTGCCAGAGCAGCCAGTGCTCCTGACTGTTGAGCCATCTCCCCAGCCCCTAAATTTGAAGATGTTCCTAAGGTTGACTAGGCAATCTGGTTATGTTTGAAAACCATTGAATACAAACTTGAAGGGCATCCTCACAGGATACAGTACAAAATGACCAGATACAGGACATAACAAAAGATGTCCAGACCACCTGGCACCCCCCAGTGTATAATGTTAAGTGTCCTGGGATAACAGCACACTCAGCTTCCTGTGGTAGCCTCGACATTTGTTGATTTTGTTTCACAGTGCTGGGGGTCAAAGCCACAACTTGTATAAGCTGGGCACACGCTGTGCCACTGAGCAACACACCCAGCCTCACTGGAGGCTTTTATATTTGTGTCTCTAGCACATCCTCTGACTTTCCAGTCTTGTAATTTTATTAGTAACTGAGTATTGATTCTCAACCCCCAGTTAACTGCCTTCCTTAGTTCTATTGAGATCCTATGAACTCTACTTAGTTGATTCTGTAGATGGTGTTCTCATGGTGTCCTTGACCCCTCTGGCTCCCACAATCCTTCTGCCCCATCTTCCTCGGGTCCCCAAGCTCTGCCTAATGCTTGGCTATGGGTCTCTGTATCTTCTTCCATCAGTTTCTGGATAAAGCTTATCTGCTTCTCTATGGCTTGCTTGCTTACGGGCAAAGCTTTGGAAAGGACCTGGATTGCATCCATTGGTGTTTCTAGGGAAACCCTGGAATTCAGAAGGGTTTGATGGCAGCTTGCTGTAACATGACAACACATAAACATTTTGGGGGGACATCTGAAGAACAGGGACTGAGGTCAGACTTCTGCCTTGTTTTTTTTTTTTTTTTTGAGACAGGGTCTCTCATTGGCCTGGAACCCACCAGGTGAGCTAGGCTGGCTGACCAAGGAGTCAGAGACTTGTCTGTCTCTGCCTCCCCATTTCTAGGACTAACTACAAACCAATGCCACCACGCCTGGCTTTTTCATTGCGGAGTTCTGGGGATGGAACTCAGGTCTTCACGTTACAAGGCCAGCACTGTACCGCATCATCTTCCCAGCTCTTCAGTGCATTTCTTATACTTTCCTGGCCTCCTTTCTTAGTCTAATGCCAGAGACCATGCCTCTGTTTACAAAGTAAATAAAATGGTGACATGAAAACTGGGTGACAGTAGCAACTCAAGAAACCAGGTTAAAAAACAAAAAACAAAAACAAAAACAAAAAAACCTTTATTCTTTAAAATCCCAGCCAAGTTCCTGCCTCCATCATTTTGCTGAAGATTTGAACTCCAGACACTTCAGAGTTGCCCAGACATCATTGCTCTGAAGCAGGTAGCCACCCATTGCCAGCCACTAGCCTGAAGATAGGTGGACAGGCAACCCAGTTTAAAGACGACATGGTGGCCACATGGGCAGGGTGTGTAGTTAGCCTTCAGATGTGAAATGGAGAGTCTACATCTTAAAGGGGAAGAGTTAAGGGGCAAGAAAACTCAAGTGTACCTCATAGCTGGTCACCATCCCGCGACTGGATGCTGCCCAACAAGTATAAAGGAAGTAGAAGTCAAGGCTTGAGGTAGAGTAGGTTTAGTTTTAAAAATCTCATCAGGGGAAACTAGGGGGTGCTAGCCTCCGTCTGAAACGACTCTCGCGAGGCAATGGAAATCCTAGGAAGATGGATAGCCATGCATGGTGGTATTTCTCTCATAGTCCGTGGTCAACAGGTACAGAATCAACACCCAAGATGAGCCTGTGGTGAGGATCTTACAGAAGCCCAAACCCACCACACACCATGTTCACTCACCTTTCTCTCCACATTTCCTTTGTCTCTAGTCTGTCATGTCCTCTTTCCATGTGTTACAAGGATCCAAGTGAGAGAGAATTACATTACAATAGAAAGGTAGAAAGGTCTCTTCCCACTGTAGTAAACAGCCACTTAAATATGTATGTATGTGTGTACGTATCCTAATTTTATAATTCAGTGATGTCAAAACCACAGCCAATTCGAAGTAGAAATTTAATTCAAATAAAGATCAAAAAAAGTGGATGTTTACATTTATCTGAATTTTTGGTCCACTAATGTATACTATTATTTTTCTTACCATTATGCATTAATTGTAGATATTAAAAAATAACTGCACTGTTAATAAAAAGAAAAGGAGAGAAATAGTGTTTAGCTTCCCAACCCAAGGCAGCTCATGGTGCAGGTCAGAGGGTGCATCTCTCTCCTTTGATGTGTGTGGTCACAGGCAAAAGGCAGAAGAAACCGCTTGTGGTGTACACCTATCTGCCGCTGTTGGCCCTGTGACCTCCAAAATGAAACACATTTTTGAACAGCCAGTGGCCACTGAGAAGGTGGATGCATTGGGCTTCTGGGAATCGCAAAGCTTTCCTTGGGTTGCTTTGATGACTCTTATGAGTCTGTCTCCCTCAGAAGCCTGCCTAGATACCATCCAGTTAAGTTCACCACTTAACTCTTCTGTTAGCACATCAACATGAGAACATATGAGTTGTAGTAATAACAGTGAAGTGATCCTGGACAATGTTGTTTCAAACTGGTCAACTACAGAATTACTCACTAAATATTAAGTTATGACTGTTGATCTATGCATTTTTACTTTTTTCTTTTAAAGTAGAGGAGCTGGTGCAGTGTAGGCATTACATCATCAAGGCTGGTCTTGAACTCTTGACCCTATGCCTCTACCTCCCATGTGCTGGGACAACCGTATGTGCCAGCACACCTGGCCCATGCATTGGTCTTGAAGGTACTACATATATTTGTGTGTACTGAAAATAAATCAAACAATCAGATATTCCAAATACGGATGAAAATAATATCCTTGGTGATTATACAAAGAACATTTTGAGTCTGATGTCATCATTGTACCGTATCCAACAGAAGTGAGCCGAGTTAACTGGTGTCAATCAGATTCAGATGGTCACCAAGGTAGATTTTGTGTGAGGAATTCCATTAATGCAATAGAAAAGCCACCACAGACAACCCTGTGGTGTAGGGTTTTTTTTTTTTTTTCTACTATAATATACAATGCAAATACATAGGCTTAATAGTTACAGGGACTAGTGTCTAAACAGGCAAACATCTGATAGTTTTTGAAGCATGGCAACCTAAAACAGCCTGCCATGAAATCAAGAACAGAAAACTATTCTCTCTCTCTCTCTCTCTCTCTCTCTCTCTCTCTCTCTCTCTCTCTCTCTCTCTCTCCCTCTGTGTGTGTGTGTAGTGTGTGTCAGAGAGATACAAATGTGCGTGAGACAGAGAGAGCTCTGTGAGAGAGAGAGAGAGAGAGAGAGAGAGAGAGAGAGAGAGACTGGAGGCCAGAGAAGTAGGTCACTGTCCCTCTCCACCAACTCTGCCTTACTCCCGAGCCTGGGTCTCATACTGAACCTGGAGCTCCTCTGGCAGCCAGTGAGCCGCAGTGAGCTCTCTAAGCGCTCTATTGCAGCCCCCGAGGCGCTGGGGACACCAGCATGTGAAATCCCGCTGACTTCTTAGATGGGTGTTGGGGATTTGAACTGATGACCTCATGCTCTTACCACTGAGCCATTTGCCTGCCCTGAACCCTCCCTTTGTTAATAAAAATTATTCTGCATACTTTTGCTCCGCGAGTCCCTGATTTTCACTTCATTATCTCAGTTCCAACCCACAGATTTTATTTCCACATTTTTTTTTTTTCTTAAGGAAGGGACCCTTGCAAGTGCAGTTGCATGAAGATATGGCTGGATGTGCAGCAGTTCACACCCATCAGCTGGGGGCAATTAATGTCTCCCCAATTTCTCTGAGCCTAAGTGTTCATTTCCTTATAGAATCAAATAAACACAAAGATGACTGTGGTGGACTTGACTGAGTGTTAGGTCTGACAGCAGATGGAAGTCCAGAGCACACATCAGTGTACTGTATGAGATGTGTGTGTGTGTGTGTGCACGTGTATGTATGCACGTGTGTGTGCATTTGTATGTGTGCATGTGTATGCACAAGTATGTATATGCACATGTGTGCACACAAGTGTGTGCATGTGTGTGCACGTGTGTGTGTGTATGTGTGTGTGGCCTGCACATTCATGGTCACATGGCACTTGAGTGAATTTACAGTTTGTCCTGATTTAATCAAAGGAGCACACACCTTTTACATATTTAGCCATTCCTGGCCACTTACTCTCTTTCCTCTAAAGTGAAGCCTGTAACGCTGAGTTGTATGTGGTGTGTTTGGACACTGAGCATGTGCTTTAGGCTCTTGCACAAGGGGTCCTCTCCCCTTCTACACAACTCTTCTTCCTGTTGTCACTCAGCCTCACAAACAATGTCATCTATGTAGACATCCTGTATTGTGACACAGCTTCAATTTTCTTCTGTGGTGACTGTGATCATTGAGCCATGTGCTTATCATGGCTGTGACAATCACAGCTCTCAGGGAGCTTAAGACATCAGTAATTTCATGTAATTTCTTTGTGGCCAAGGTATGTTCACAGGGGAAAACTGAAATGTCTCAGAGCTACACTGACTAACATACACTGACAGGAGAGAATGTGATCATTTTTCCATACGTACCTAGAAAAACATTACTTTGACAATATTACTCAGAGCAGAGCTTATAGTGCCGATGGTTCTATAAGCCTGACTGGAACCTGATTGTGTCTGTTTCCAATATGTCCCTAACTGGTGCTGTTGGATTTCTCTGTGAAGGACATTTTGAAGGAAAAAGAAGCTCGTATATGCTTCCCCCAAAGGGAATGGGGACAATAGAATCAAGATATGGGCATATTTTCAGAACTCTTGGATCCTGGTTTGATTACTTTCACTCCATACAATTAAATCCACTGGAAACTGTAAAAAAACAAAATGATTGTATTTTCAAGCCTGAAGACCCTGCTTCCCCAACACTCAGTCATCATTACACATACAGCTTACATACTTGAACATGAGAAGGAGCAGATTCTCAAGCAGTGACAGAAGCAAACAGTCAGTCAATCATGCCTCAGATCTTGGCCACCGATGGCACCCTTGATGGGTAGGTTGAATAAATACTTTGCATTATAAGCTGATGTTCTACAGACATACATTCCATTCACTGTCAACACTGCTACAAGTCTGTCACCCAAACAGGAGTCCTCTCCATCGTTTACACTTACTTCTTCAATATACAGTTCCATTTTGGAGGGGAGAGGGGAATCTGAATTTGAGTGTTCACTTCTGACCAAGCACTCTGAAGAAATCCTTTTATATTTTCAGATGCTTGTACAGCCACCAGAACAAAAATGGATATGGGCCATGGGTACCTGTGTGGTTTGGTATCAGGTCCACCTATGCTGGTTAGGGGATGGCTCCGGAGGTTCCCAGAGGCCGGCCGGCGCCAGTCAGACATTGCTCTGCTGTAGCAGGAGGCTCCTCAGCTCCCGTTCCCTCTGGTCCTCCTGCCTGTACTGTTCTTCCAGCTTCTGTTTTTCAGAATCCGCACAGCAGAAGGTACAATCCGGGCTCTTCCGGATCTGCTCGAATTGACTGAAATCAGCCACATACTTTCCATTTTTGGAGAGAGAGACCACAGGCACAAACTCAAAGCCCCAGTAGATCTCCTCCGGGATGTACGATGTTCGGCTCTGGCAAACAGCGCTGGTTGATTCCACGGTGGCATTGAGAAGGACCACCAGCTCAAACTCCTTTTCTTTTAGGTTCTGGGGTGTGAGGTCCCGTAGTGGGCTCCTCTCATCCAACACATGGTAGAAGGTCATGGGCAGAATGAGAAAGGGGCTCTCAGAAGAGGAGTCCACGTGGAATTTGACGGTGGCCTGGTTGAGGAGGATGCGCTCCCCTTCTTTGGTGACATGAGTCTGGAGGAGCTTTCCTGAGAGCTGGCACTGGATCAAGAGGCTCTTTCTCATGTTGGCCACCTGGATGACCAAGCATAGCTTCCCGTTCTGCTTGCTGATCACAGCACAGTGGCTGAACTTGATGGTCTCCGCTCGCTTTTTGGGCCTTGCGATTTTGGCCAGGAAGGTCCCGGTAATGAAGATCTCAATCAACGTGGTGATGACCAGTTGGGCAACCAAGAGGAAAATTGCATGAGGACACTCCTCCGTGATGGAGCGGACCCCATAGCCAATGGTTGTCTGGGATTCCAGGGAAAAAAGGAAGGCTCCCGTGAGAGAATCCACTTTCATGATGCAGGGTGTGTGATTCGAACTGGACTCCCCAAGTTCTAAATCGCCGTGAATAAAAGCTATGGCGTAGTAGACCACTCCAAACAGAAACCAGGTCATCACAAAGGTGGCGGCAAACAGGGTGAGTTTGTATCGCCACTTCATGTCGATGACCGTTGTCCACAAGTCCTGAAGGTAGAGCAAGTAGATGCCATCTACCTTGTCAATCCTCACATTGCTGTGTCCGCTCTTAGACATGACTCGAGGTCTGTGGGCCTTGAGTCCAACCCCATTGGAATGTTTCACCAGTGGGGCACTGGACACGCCAATGTGAACAGCGTCCATCCTCAGGCTCCTTGGACCACCTAAAGAAGTAACAAAGACGTGTCTTACAACTTTTTTTTTTTTGGTGGGGGGGTGGCTTCCAGGAGGTAGAAAAGGAATTAGCAGAATCCTTTTGTCACATTCTGGCTATGGCCGTCTACCAAATGCAGTAATTATATTCTATTAACCGTGTGCAATGAGACTGAATGCTCGGTTGTCCCTTGATATCTGTGTCAACTGAAATTGCCAATCCAACACAATCTAAAATCACATGGGAAGAGGGATTGCCTGGACCAAGTTGGCCCGTGGGTGTGTCTGTGGTGGATTTTTGTAATAATTATCTTAATTGAGGAGGTGGGAAGACCCACCTACTATAAGTGGCACCATTCCTGAGGCCGGGGACCCTGAACTGTAGAATGCAGAGGAAGTATACTGAGAAGCTATACATTCCTTGTTCCCTTTCTCCTGGGGGGAACTGATGTGATTAACTGTTTCAGGCTCCTGTCTCTGTGACTTCCCCTCAATTATGCCTGTAATCTGGAATCTTGAGTTAAAAAAATAAGTCCTTTCTCTACTCTCTTATATCTGTGTGAGTGCAGAAGAAGGGATCAGGAGGTCCCCCAGAGCTGGAGGAGTTGCTACATGTGATTGTGAATGCATGATTTGGGTGCTGGGAGCTGAACTCCAGTCCTCTGCAAGCGCAGGACGCTGTCTTAACCGTTGGACCGTCTTTCCAGGGCAACCCCTAAGTTGCTTTTGTCAGGGTATTTTAACATAGCATCAGGAAGCAAAGCTAAGACCGTTTCTAGAGACCCCGTTTCCAGCCCTTCCCGCCGCCCATGGATACAAAACTCTGCAGAGGGTCATGATTCCTTTATGTAAATGATAAATCATTTGCACGTAATCTGTGCATCTCACTCTAAACCTTGTCTGGATGATTTATGAAACTTAACATGAGGTGCATAACGCATAGAGAAGTAGCTACTATGTTGCCTGCTTGGGGAATGAATGCTCGCAAGGACGTCTCCATGTGCTCGGTACAGGCATTAACTGTCCCCAGTACCTTCAACCCTTAGCAGTTTCACTCCTTAGCAGAAGGAGGTAGAGGAGGCAGGAGGAAAGGTTTGTGTAAGTAAGAAAGTGGAACGGTGAAGTCAAGACTGGCTGACTTGTGCCAGCGTGGTGAGGGCAGCTGAGTCAGGAATTGAGGCTTGGGGGAGAGCTAGCACAAGTGAACACGGATTCAGCAGCTGATTAGCACTATGGCTCAACACAAACCTTCAACCTCTCTAGACCTGAGTGGGAGCAAGTCCTTAACGCCTGAGTGGGTATTTTAGTCCACCCTCAGAACCAACTTCAGTCCTGGTTTGCTTTTTGTTGCTAGCAATAAAGCACTAATGAAAAGTAACTTTTTGAGGAAGCAGGTGTTTCATCTTAGAGGTTACAAGCCATCATGAGGGAAGCCTGGGCAGAAACTCAAGGTAAGAATCGACACAGAGACCATGGAGGAACTCTTGCTTACTGGCTTGCTTCCTCTGCCTTGCTCGGGACCTTTCTTACACAGTCTAAGCTGCCTAGGGGATGGCGATGCCCACGCTGGACTGGTGCCTCCAAGCAGAAATCATCAATTAATAAAATGCGATTCCTCAAATGATACTGCTCTTTTCCAGGTAAGGTGGACAAGAACTTCGGCTGCCTTACTCCTATGTTGCAAGCTTTTTTTGATGGCTAGGCTAGCATCTAAACACAGCCTTATTGTGAAAAGCAATTTTTACTTTTCTCTTGACTATACAAAAGGTTATGCAAATTTCTTGCAAAACGTATTTCGCAAGTATTTATTCATAGTTAGCTTTGATGATTTGCCACGATAACGCTTAAAGCTTAGATCAGCCACCTGTAAAATAGTTTTTGGTATAGCAATAGAGAATATTACTGCAAATCTTCAGAGACAACGTAGTATTAATACATTTTTTTACACCATCCTTTTAACTAACACACTTCAGAGCAATTCATTTGCCTCCCCCCATCCAGTGAATAATTTAGTATCTATGGTTTCTCTTGGTTCTGATGACATTTGGGAAGAGTCAAATTATTAAGCAACTATAGTCCCACTAACAGCAAGTAATTAAGCTCTTGTAATGTCTCGGTTGCCACGCAGGTTATTCTTAGACAAGTACAACCAATGTCATTTTAGGTGTGATATTTAGGTATACACAAAATTCTGCCCTGCTCTTTAGATCAAAATAGAACCAGCTGGAGGAGTCTATTTTAAGAACAAGCGAAAGGGTATGTAGTATATCTAAAAACGAAAGGCTATGTAGGGTAACTAACCTAGTAGCAGAAAAAATAAATAAATAAAAATTAAAAAAAAAAAAAACAAAAAACAAAAAACCCAACCTACCCAGCCCCTGTGCTCCCAGCTCGGACCCAGGGAGGCTTCGCCATGCATCAATACCCAACCACTGGAGAATTGCTGGATGCGAGGCCACAGAGCATCTTACAGCACCTGCCTGCTGACTAAAATGGATGATCTCTACATCCCTCGAAAAAGATAATGTAGGCAATTACAGAGTAACTCTACCTGGCGGGCATGCCTTTTACCCTACCTCACTGGTATTATTTTAAGAATAGATGGGTAGGCAGTGGCTTCAGATTCAGATGCTAATCTTTCTGGTGTGTGTGTGGGGGGGTGGGCATTATGCCAATAGAAGTTTTGGAATAAATGCAGGTAAATCCTTCCAAGGAAACAGCAGTGGTCCCCATGGGGTGGGGGGATGGGGGATGGGGGGTGGGGGGAGGGGCACCGCCTGCTCAGAAGGTAAAACAGAGCCCCTGGGCCATTCAGTCTTCCTGCTTCAGTGGGGAAGGCCTGTCTCTCACTGAATGGCCCCTACTGCAATGCCTTTCTCCCTCCCTTGGAAAGTCACTGATTTGGTTTCATTGCAAACCAAAACTTACTGGGAGCTTTAACTCCTTGATGCTACTTCACCCTCCCCGGGGATCTGTTACTTAGGTGCCAGGGACACATCACAGGCAGCACAGAACTCCCCTCTTGTGCCCTGGACTACACTTCTTAGTCCATAACGAGGAACAAAAGCAGCCCCATTGAGGCTTGGCAAGGGCACACTGGCACTGCTGAATGTGGAGACAAGCTGGTAACAGGGGCCCTGCTGAAGACAGACTCAGCAAGTGGCAGGGTGAGGAGAAAGACAGAGGAAAGAAAACTGGTGAACACAGGTGCCACTCAATCCACTGAAACCAAAACAAGGGCTTAAGTTTCCCAGAACAAGTGAGGCTTGAGTGTCCTGCGTACACACAGCAGCCTCCAGATTCTGGGGACTGTGGCTGAGCTCCCTGGAAAGTAGCCCTGTGTGGCTTCTGTTTCTCCCTCCCTTCCCCTTGCTGGGGAGTTGGCCTGGCTTGCGATGGACTGTGTGCTTTCCTGTTTCTGCTAAGTGCTTGCTGGCTGCAAGCCTGAACACCTGGTTCTGAGGTCAGAGGCATGAGCAGTGCTTCCTAGCAGCCAGGGTTTGGGACCTGTGGCCTCTGCAAGTGCATGGGTCCCTTTCTGAGGGAAAGAGGACAGCTGAGGAGCATGGATCTCAGGATAGCCCATCTCCTCTGTCTTCAAACCCCTGTCCCCCAGTCTAGAACCCTCTGCCCTCCAAGCCCCTTTCTACCTGGTCACTCACTCTGTAGGTCAGGAATCTTCTGCAGGGCAAGTGGCAACGTCCTCGCTCCCCTTCACTCACCTGGCTACCATGGGGCTCTGCTATGGCCTGAAAGAAAGAGGGGACAGACACATGCTGTTTACAGGTGGCTCCAGAGCACCCAGCAAAACTGGCCCCTGAAGATCCCCTCAAGGCAACTGGTGTGGCATTTACCTTCGAATCCCTGGCCATCTGGCAAAGTGCCCAGTACAGGCTACATGGCCAAACATTTTCAAGAATGAAACCGTTGCTACCACCACAGCCCTCGCTAAGAATCCAGCCCCTCAAGAGAGCTCATTGGCAAAAGGCACTGGAGGCACAGGAGAGAAAGGGTCAACCCACCCCCACCCACCGGGGCCACAGTGATCTGAGCAGGAGGCAGGAAGGGGAAATGTGGAGGATGTAAACAGCCCACACTGGAGGGGAAGAGTCCAGAATAGTTCCACCGCCCGCCGGTGGAAATGCATTGCTCCTGTTGACTCAGAGAGACTTAGGTGAAAGAGGCCGTCAACGCTGTCTCAGAGAATGACAGACTGTAGAGGAGGGTACGGAAGTCTAGAAGGGCTCAGCTGGGTGCTGAAGGACATACAAAGGCTGCAGGGGGTGGGGTACACCTCTGTTGTCCCCAGTCCCCAATAATACACAAACCCCCCCTCCTCTCTGCCCTACTGATCTGCTCAAAACTCACCTCAAGGTGCTTTCGCATTCCTTTTTCCCCCTGAAATTCTCTTTCTAGATAATACTACCTAGGCCATCCATCCATCCATCCACTTTGCCTGTTAGAATTTTTTTTTTTCTACCACCTGCACACATCTGTATCAGCCTCACATGCTTCTTACTGCTGACTGGTCATTGTTTACATAGTTACTGGTTTACAGTTCATATGTTTCCTCTTATCGGCTCCTTGACTCTCACACAGACCAGATCTCAGTGTGTTGGTTGGAGGACAACTCCTTGCCCGTTGCTAAGCTACGACCCGTGACCTGCCTTGCACCAAACAGTTTGGTTGTTGGCTTCACAACATACTCTTGGTTTGTCTATTCTTCTGCAGACTCCTTTTAAGAAGTGTACTTCTTGGGGGCTGGAGAGATGGCTCAATGGTTAGGAGCACTTGCTACTATTTCAGAAGACCCATGTTCGATTCCCTGCACTCACAGGGCAGCTCACAGCCACCTGTAACTCCAGTTTCAGGGGGACCAGAGCCTCTCTTCTGGCTTTCATGGGTACTGCATGTGCAATGGTACACATAAACTCGCACGTACACGGTAAATGAATACGTAACATTAAAAATATCTGCTTCTTATTTGTTAATTTGTTTTTGTGGTTCTACAATCCACGTGGCTTAAATTCTGTTAAGCCATCAATAGTTTTCCACAAGCTAAACATGATAAAAGGGCATTGTCACATGACTTCCCCTTCTCTTAATCCTCCAGATTAATACTCCACTAAAGCCACATGCAGTGTTAGTCTCTGGAAACAACATTTAGTGTCCCAGGTTTTTCAAGCTGTCAAATCTTACAGGTTAGGATTATAATCCTCACTGTGATATCTCCATTGGAGTCCTTGAAAATAATGAACAGAGAAGCCAGGATTGCCCTTTCCTGCTTTTCTGGTCAAGAAAGGGCATGAATCTGTAAGTGCGTCCTTCAATACACCATTTGTTTTCTGAAGATAAAGGAAAGCAAATTCCAGTTTGGGAATGAACCTAACCAGCAGGCACACTGCAGAAGCCATGTGGCTGCATAGAGAGTAGAGGATAGTTGTTCTGGTAGCACGAGGGTTGCAGGGAACGGGAAAAGAGTCATCAGGGACTGGTGCATCTGGGAAGCCAAGCAGAGCACACGGGGGCTGTCTCTGCTGACAGTGAGCAGCCTGTGAGGGGCCAGGATGCTGTAGACCATTTAGAAGAAACATGTAAGGAAATAACAGGCAGGAATAGGGCTAGAAGCATCCCACGGGGAGAAGGTGCAGATTATGTTAAAATAATGAGTGGTAAAGACTTGGGTAACGGTGGCACAGTGGTTCAGGGGAGAGCCAAGAGAATCTGCATAGATAATAGAACACCCTGACCTGGCGGCCACACCCCAGCCATGTGCTTTCCACATGGAACCTTTCATACAGCATCACTGTAGTCCTGCAAGGTGAGCATTCCTGTTCGTCCTCCAGGAGGACGCCCAGACACAGAGAAGACACTGACTCAAGGCAACACTGGACTCCTTCAGCCACACCGATTACTGGCCTGAGGGAGTGCTCTGGGCTCAGGCCTCCAGCCACCTGGAAGGTCTGACGCCCCAAAAACGCATGCACGAGTCTAATGAGACTCCACGTGACACTGCTCCTGCTCTGGGAGCATGCACAATCACAGCCACAGCGGTGAGGCGTCCTGCTTGCCTGGCTTTAGGATGAGCCTACTCTCTCTGCTCCTCTCAGCACCCTGGCTAAATACCCTTGGCCCAGGTGTTGAATACACCTGTGCATTTCGTCGGGCATGTCCAGATTCACCGTCCTTGTAAATGAAGTGCCACCTCCCCGAGTCCAGAATGAGGGACAAAACTTCTAAAATCAGACATACGTAGAGATTCTAGTCAAGACTGTGACACGTTATCTGCATTTATTGTGTAAGTATGTATAACTCATATAGATTATAGAGCGTGTGTATAGTATGTATTATCAGATATATACAATATATGTTATACAATTTATATTAAATTATGTATCGCACTATATTAGCTGTTGTGCAGAACCAGTAATTCTAGCTAAAGTTAATCTACACTAATTATTTAGATATTTTACTTATATCGGGGAATATATATTATAATGTAAATAATACTGGCCAAAATTAAATAAAGCGGTATTTCTAACTCCCACAACAATGTTCACCCATCAGTTTTGCAAGCCCACCCCTATTTGCACAATACCTTTTCTTTTTCCTAACTCTCAAAAGTGGGAGCTTCCACCAGTCACAGATCCTTTCTTAAGAAAAATAAACCCATTTAGTATTCACTTTCTTCCTTCTGCTTAGTGCAGCTTTGGAATGTCCTAAAAGTTTGAAATTATTATTTTGATTGAATTTTGTAAGTTTTCTGGGAAAATATCAGGTTGTATTCCATGGCACAGAAACAAGGTGGGTATACCCACAGAAAAAAAGAAAAATAGAGCTTTTCAATCAGGTCTCCAGTGTTCCCATCCCATGTGATCACAAAGGGGTGGGAAGTGCCTGCTGGAGAACAAAACCTAACTCCATTCATACATTCCTTTCCAGGACTGACAAAATGCAAAGGGTCGGACTTAACCTCTGACAAGATGTAACCTCTCGTTGATATAAAAAGTGGCCTGAGAAGCTTTCTTGGATGTTAGCTATTTCTAACACACTAGGGTTTTGTTTTTTTGTATTTTGATGACCTACAAGCCCAAAGATTACCTAGCTTAAATTTCATGTTAAGTATACGCAGGCTTTAATATTAAGTAGGACAAAGTGCTTAACAAGAATCTGTTCAGGGTTCACTGAGCTCAGAGGGTTTAAAAGTAATTGAAAAGTAAAACCAGCCAGGCTTGCTGTCCTTTGGACCCTGTGACAGGTCACGCAAACACACCCCAGGAGATCTTTGCTGAGGCCTTGAACCGAATTCTTCTCTCCTCTCCAAAACCATCTACCGTTCGCTTCAAAAGCTGGCTGAGTTCTGAACCCAATTGCTAACTTCACCAACATGGGGTAGGGCACCAGCTAGTTGCTTTGCCCAGGCACACCAGTGTATTCATGAGCTAGTTTCCCAGGTCAGTGGTCTACACGGGTAGAGCTGTGGCGTGACTTGGTTACTGTGTGTGATTGGCTGTTGATTCCAGTTATTCCTGGCATTTCTCTGCAGGATCCTGTGAAGGATCTTTACATATACATAGGCCTGCCCCTTTGGGTTGGATGTGCTTCTGCATTCTGTATGGGAAGGCCGTGTGACTTTTCTGCACGACGAACTCTAAGTGGCTCATCACACCTGAGCAGAGGCCCTGGACCGGTGCAGGGTTCTTGCCATGCTCCCGGACTGCTCTTCAGGTCCTCATTCTGGAGAAGTGGGAGGAGGAAGAAGATACCCAGAGCTGGACCATAGCAGCTAACTCGTAACAGATGATGAGAAGGGATGTTTGTGTGAGTCATGGAGGTTTTGGAGTGAAAACTGGCACCAGAGAAGCCCTCGCATCATGATTTGGTACGGAATTGTATGCTGGCCTAAAAGATAAGGAATTTAAAGGAAAGGCATACAAATCGGAAATCACCCTAAGGACAACTCCGAATGCTGGTCTAGGATGAGAACTTGGAGCAGAGGAAATAATGGGAATCTAAGTAGACTTCAGAAGGGAGATGGATCTACTGGATCTCTAAGCACAGCCTAGGGAAGGGAAGGAGAACATTTCCAAGTTAGCACTTAGGTACAAGACACAGGGTGACTCTTCAGAACATGGCGCGCATGGGAGATCATTCCTCCATTCCAGCCTTCCTTTGATCTGTGGATCTGATGCCTGGGTGACCTGTCATCTCATAGACACAGGGAGAGTCCCTGTCCCCGCCTTTACCTCTGTGTCACTGACAGCTCTGATTTCAGGAGAGGAGGAGGACGTTCCAAAGAAGCATCATTTTCTTATTTCATTGTCCTCTTTACCAGCAGAAGAAAAAAGCAAACAAAGTATTCTCTAAGTGAGGGGCTTAAGGGCGGAGAGATTAAATAACTTATGCAGATACAAAAGCCAGTAGGCAGCAAACTGGTCCTGAGAACCGGTTCTGTCCGCCCTTAGTATTGGCCTCCTAGCTACAACACCATCATGGACACATGGTGATACCTGCCTTCTCTAGGTGGCTCGTGGTGAAACTGCACACGCACAATTGCACCCATCACACAGTAAATAGCCACCACGGATTCATCGTTTATGTAGAGACTATATCTAACTCTCATGTAGAGCCTAGCAGTTTCTACTGTTACTGCCGCATTCCAGATAAAGATTCTAGGCATGTGTCTGTGAGCCCTCCAACCCCTGGAGGGGATCGGAAGGAAGATGGCTTGTGTGGAGCCAGAAGGTCC